TGATCAATCAATCAACGTATTATCAGTTAACCCTTTGAACAAAGTATGTTGTTTTTACATCGGCACTTCGCGCCATGATATGAGTGTATTCCCTTTGTTTTAGTAAACCTAGACATGTAAACACTCACTCTTGACATATCCACTGTGCAAGATAACAGTGATTAATCAATCAACGTATTTTCTGTTAATCCTTTGATGACTAGAACGATCCGTTGATTTACAAAAAAAGTAAATCAACTGATCATTCATCTCTTGCTGGGCTGCCACGTGCATATTACATAACACACATTTCACCTCACTTCAAACCTGGATTTAGATTGAATAATTACCCCAGACACAATAAATGCCAACTGGGAACCTTTGTCAGGTAATATAAGTGGTGCTACCACTAATTGTACCTGTAATAAATTCATTAACTGAGCATCAAGTGAATGACGACAAATACACAAGTGTAGGGTTATACGAGAAAACGTGGATGACAACAAGGGAGTAGTAATCGTATTATCGACGCAAGCCGAAATCCGAAAATGCTTTCACTGCATGGATACTGTTTTTAGTATAAACTATAACCATCTGGGGTATTTCCAAATGACGACATCCGATGAGCTCCCTTGTTCTTTTTTTCTGTTTGTTTAGGCTGAAGAAATGAATTAACATGCGCCCTTTGTCGAAATCTTTATAGATCACAGTTAACCAATCAGTGTTCAAAAATGCGTAAAACAAATATTGCCTCCAGCCTCCAAGTTTATTTAGCTGTCCTTGCAGACGGTACCCCAGTCTCTGGTCACGCTCAGTTGCGTTGCGTATCATCCGGGTACTCACGGGGGAAAAACAATAACAAAGGCAACAACCAGTCCGTTAGATCAGTGCCCCTTTAAGTACCTGCTGCTCACCTGGCTCTGAACAATGAGCTTTCAGTCTGCATAATGAATTCGTGTCAAGGCAGATGATTTCAAATTAATGCATTACAATACTATCTGACATCGTTATAGAGGATTCTGATGTTTATATGGAAAGTTAAACCACTTAACCTGTAAATTGCATATCATGCATATTATTAACAAAATCGATTAAATGAAGTCATAGTCCTTTCTATTATTTATTTTTAGCTATTGTAAAGGGTCAAAATGACATTTTCAACAATGGTTACCTTGCCAACTATGCTGAGCAGGTAGCTGGGCTATCATCCATGAGTCAAGAGTTAGGAGGAAGAAGATATCCATTCAAACCCCATTGTGTCGAACTCCGGTGTGTCGAATATCGCGTTGTGTCGAAATCACAGTCTGATCCCGTCAAACTGTTACTACATTTAACACTATGTGAAACAGGATATGTCAAGCTGAATGTTCTGAATTTCTGTCTGTATCAAACTTGATTAATATATAGTCCCATGGTCCCCATAAGTAAAACAGAATGACTGATAAGTCAAACTGAAAGCACAACTTAACACAAGTTGCAGGTATTTGTATAATTTGATTATACTGCATATAGATGCATAAATGTAGACATGACAATGCCAGAGTATAACAAGTCTTGATTAGCCAACAAAACAGATTTGGAGTAAAAGGCAAAATGTAACATCAAAATTTTATGAATGGATCACTGAAAATCTTGCGTGACTCCAGGCGATTGCAAAAAGGGTAACCTTGAACATTTACTGTTTGATATTGGTCAATTTCAAAGTATGTATCACAATCTCAAAATATGACCCATGGCATTAACTAATTAGGGATGCCAATATGCATTAATGGAATCATAAATGTAAAAAAAGCATTAACACTTTGCATAAACACACACGTTTTTACATATATACCTCCATAAATATAAAAAAATATGAAAAAACAATCTTAGATACAAGACTCAAAATGTGTGTTTAGTTTGACATATATATGCAGATATAATCCTGATTTTGTGAATAACCTTGAACATTTACTGTTTGATATTGGTCAATTTCAAAGTATGTATCTCATTAGCTAGCTAGTCATTAGAACAATCCCTTATATCATTTAATACTTTATGGTTACAGAGAATATCATATGCGTTGTATGTTCCATACACATACATATATTATCTCACACAAGAAGTATATATACTCAGTAACAAAAGTTTAGCAACACCCAAATCTTGAGCATTATTTGAAAATGAGAAAATGTCAGAAACGGACTAATGCACTGACTTCACGGAGAGAACATATCGCACCAACACACCAAGTTACGCTGATTTTTAATGACATCTTCAATTACACGTCCATTGCACATGATTTTATTCACATCGGGACTCCCGTGAATCTCTTCACATGAATCGCTATAAAACCTCGATGAAACGTTAGTGGCACTCATTGTTGAAAGGAAAACACTGGACGCTACATGATTTAAATTATGGGTCGAGGCAAAGGAATGCCCCAAAATGCCAGACATGAAGCCATTGGCATGATAAGGGCAGGAATGAGCTTGAGACAAGTTGGGAGACACTTTAATGTGCATTACAGCACCATTTCCCGTCTACAGACACGTGTTGCACAGACTGGGACCATGACAGATTGAGCCTGCAGCGGTAGGCCTGTAAAACCACAGCAAGGGAAGATCGCTACATTGTGACATCATCACGACATAATCGACTAAACAGTGCACCAGAACTTGCTCAAGCACTTCATCGCGCAACTGGAACACGTGTACATGCACAGCTTGTCTGTAATCGCCTCCATTCTGCCGGTTTGCGGGCTCGACATCCACTTCGACGCATCCCCTTAACGCCACGTCACATCCAAGACCGAGTCGCATGGACATGGATCCACCATAGATGGCGCCATGCACAATGGAGAAAAGTGTTATTCACAGATGAATCCCACTTCTGCCTTCGGTTTATGGATGGAAGAGCCCCCGTATGGCGACGACGTAGAGAGAGATTTGACCCTAATAACGTCATTCAACAAGATCGATATGGTGGAGGAAGTGTAATGGTTTGGGGAGGAATCCACTGGGGTGGGAAAACAGACCTCATTGTGCTGAACACACACTCTGACTGCCCAACGGTACTGCGATCAGGTGATAACGCCAGTGGTTCTACCGTTCATGAGAGCTCACCCTGGACACATCTTCCAACAACACAATGCAAGCCCCCACACAGCTCAACTGACTCAGAATCTGTTGCAACAACACAACGTTGACGTCCTCGATTGGCCGGCTAGATCTCCAGATCTTGCTCCCATTGAACACGCCTGGGATATCCTTGGGAGACGTTTAAGAAGGAACCATCCTAACGTCAACAACATTCGTGACCTTGGCCTTGCCCTCCAACAAGCATGGGCAACCATCACTCTTGGTGAGATCAGGAAGCTCATTAGAGGAATGCGTAAACGTTGTGTGGCGGTACAACAGGCCGGTGGGCGTCACACTCGCTACTGAGGGATAGCAACAGTACACGTGTGAAAATGGTCAACAAACCCCCATGTCCTTTGAATGACTTTTCCTAATCTCTCCTATTGCTGTCACAACTGTGTCGAACATTCATGAATGTCACATTGAACAACACAATGGTCAAGATAATAAAAAAAACATTTCTCTGTTGAGTTTTCTTATTTTGTGTATTTAAATACGGTGTTGCTAAACTTTTGTTACTGAGTGTATTTATCTGTCTTGTATATTACATACACATACATTTATTATGACTCAAAGTGAGATTGACCAATCTGAGGGCAGACCTACTTACCCCATATGGTCCCGTATACCGTCAGTAAAAGAAATCCAAGATGGTTGTTACTAACCTAATTAAGACCGTATACCATCAGTAACTGCCATTTTGGATTTCTGATGCCAATGGCATCACATAGCAATAGAATAGACAGCAGCCCGACAGGAGAAAGTGGACTGCAATCAAGTTACAGTGGCCCCAAGATTTCTGTTAACATGAGGGCATTTTTATGATAATTCTTTCCATTTTAGCTATAGTACTTTAAACGTTCACATTTAGTGCATTATATGTTCCACTCTTACGACAAGCATGGTCGCTTTTTACGACAAGCATAGTCACCTTTTACGACAAGCATAGTCGCCTTTTACGGCAAGCATAGTCGCCTTTTACGACAAGCATAGTCGCCTTTTACAGCAAGCATAGTCGCCTTTTACAGCAAGCATGGGTTGCTGAAGACCTTTCCTAACTTGAATGTTCACGGGTCGAGATGGGCTGGTAATGTCACTCAGAAACAGACTGTAGTGGTTAATGGGTCCAGGAGATGCATTTACAAGTGCACACTATTGAACACATTCTGAATGAATGCCTACAAGGTTCTCCAAGCATGCCATAATTGGGTGAAAACAAATGGACAAGATCATGATTATCAGCATTTAATTTAAGTTTTTATAAGGTCTATGATGTTATCAGTAATATAGCAAGGCATCATGATGTTAAACTGTATTTGTAGTCATTAATATGGCCATAGGCCATTTTAATTCCTATTTTTTTCATAAATATTAACACCTCAAATAGTTTAAGTTCAACCTAACAATGGCTTGAAAACTATTTTCATTTCCATCATAAAACAGTATGTTACAACTTATTTTCAAACCACATAAGGCCCTGTAAACAGCGTCTTGATTTGCCTCTATCAGTTGTACCAAAGTGCACTGATTGTCAGTTCAAATATTCCTCTTATTATATTTCTAGGTTTGTCAGCATGATGTAACCTATTTTCATGGGTATTACAAAGCGGTAAATGTCTAAGGCCTGTAACATTTCAGGCTCACTCGACACGTAGAGATTTAACTCAACTACCTCCCTCATATCAATGGTAACTGCAGTAAATGAACTCTTTTGTGCTGTGTAGCATGGCTTTGTAGTAGTGCTACAAAAGTTACGTCACACCGGAAATATATATACTCAAAGGCAAACGTCATTGTAATGTAAGTTGCCAAGTGAAAAGAATCCACGTGACAAGAAGTTTCCTCACTATATTTAGACGTGAATCACGTGATGTCAATATTCATTGCGCATGACAATTCAATTCTACACTGCTTCAGTTTTTGACACCAAAAGGTCTGTTTTCAACCATATCTCATAGGATCAGGTATGTTCCACTACTGACACTTTACACTAGCCGTGTAAATGAGCTTAATCTTTATTGAAATGTGTTAGAATGGGGACAATATGCGTGTTTACAACCTGCATCCTTGGAAAAAGAAAGGAAATAGTGTCTTGCTGTACTACCTTGAATATTTAAAAGGTTTTGGTCACCTGGAGTTTGAAACATTCATTCAAACTCTATGTATCAACTTGAGAAAAGCCAAGAGTTGGAAGTGTGGATAAAAACCATGTAACATGTTAATATGCTCGTTTGCTAAGTTTTTAGCACCCTGAAAATATGAAAAAATGATGAAATAGCAGTGTAACTTATATTATAAACTCACTGATTATACATTGAGCATCAATAAAAAATTATGTTTTTTGACAGAAATAACTTCATATTTCATTCTAAGAATATTTTATTTTTTAAATAATGAACCTGCTAATTCAAGATTTATTTCAAAACAACACTTAGTGTTTCATAACAAGAAGGAAGGAGTTACGTCCCTTTTATATTGCAATTTGTTGTGAGGGAATTTGGGTGAGATCAAGGGGGATCATATGGAAAAAGGACTTAGTGAAAAATCTCTTTCTCATTTTCAGTCCCTCTAATAAATTAACAATCATTAAATCAGTTCAGTTGATGGTATTGAGCTCTTGAATTAAAAAATGTTTGATTATAATATTTCTTTCCTTCATGTCCTTAACAATGAACACAAAATGTAGTAATGAATAAAACAAGAGCAAAAGTGAGCGTGGCTCACTAATACCCCCGACCCGCCTAGTGTATCAGTAGTTTCAAATTAAATAGCTTAAACATAGTGCCACGCGTGGCCCTGTAGCTCACCTGGAAATACCAAGTTTCAGTGAAATAACTGAACAAGAGTCATCAGAAAGATGACATATCCCCAGGCAGCTGTCTGTAAAGTAACCACAAGTAAAAGTGCAATTCTGTTTATGAGTCAAGAGTTGAATGTTCTTTAAGAAGCATACATTGTTTACCCACAAAAGATTCACCATGGTCGCATCCATATGAAATGGAAAGTAAAACGTGTGTTTCTGTCGGGGGGTTTTATGCAAACAAATGACAAATTACAAGAAACAAGTGTATAGTCAATGAAGTCATCTATATCCCCCACCCATTTTAACATGTTATGGTCCCAAACCAGGTAACTGACCCAACATTTCTCTTAGCCCATGTCAAAATAGCTGCAATTGATATTCTAAAATAAACATTTCTAAAACTCCTTAATATCAAATGGCACCTGTTCAGTATGTACTTTATCTACGGACATGCAATGTTTGGCAAGGAAATATTTAACAGTTTATTTGTTATACTCCATAAGTTAACCCACCCTATATGAAAACTTAAATCCAACTTGTTGCCATGGAAACGTAAAAAAATTAAAAAATTAAAAATCCTAAATAGCAAAAGGGACAAGTTCAGTATGTGGCTGGTAGACATGCAAAGTTTTGTAAGAAAGTATTTAACAGTTTTTGAGTTACGCTCCGGAAACGAACACCACCCTTATAGAACCTAAGTCCAACTTGTTGCCATGTAAACGTAAAAAATAAAAATTTCTAAAATTCCTAAATAGCAAAAGGCATCAGTTCAGCATGAGTCTGATAGACATGCAAAGTTGTGTAAGAAAGTTTTGAATGGGCGTTGAGTTATGCTCCGGAAACAAACTAAACCCTATAGAACCTAAGTCCAACTGGTTGCCATGAAAACGTAAAAAAAAAATATATAAAAAATTCCTAAATAGCAAAAGGCACCAGTTCAGTATGTGCCTGGTAGACATGCAAAGTTTTGTAAGAAAGTATTTAACGTTTTTTGAGTTACGCTCCGGGAACGAACACCACCCTATACAACCTAAGTCCAACTTGTTACCATGGAAACGTAAAATATAAAAATTTCTAAAATTCCTAAATAGCAAAAGGCACAACTTCAGTATGTGACTGATAGATATGCCAAGTTTTGATCAAATACACAGAATTATTTTCGAGTTCTGCCCCGGAACACGAAATGATTACGGACAGATGGACGGACAGACAGACTGGCTGATCGCTATATCCACCCGCATTATATGCCGGGGGGATAAAAAGTGAAAAAGTTAGCAGAGCTTACTAATACCCCCAACTTCAACCTTTTCAGTGTCAACTCTACTTTAGTCATGCAAGCTATTTTCACAGTACTAATATAAATTGGTAAAAATGTAACCAGATCGAGCCTACAAATACCGCTGATTGTTAAACTGTTATACATTTATCCTGTTGTTGTAAAAAAGAGTACCACAATATAAAGGAGAAAAAAAACATGAATGCAGTCTACATCTGATATATGCCAATGTATTGATAATCCACAAATTTTAGGTTAAAACTATTATCAAGCTATGATATTCATTAAATACATGAATTTGCCCACAGTTCCAATCTCCAGATACAGCATGAGTTTGTAGAGGTGGCTGTAGAGCCAGTCCATCACTCTCAACTTGCCCTGTGTGAGATGCTTGATGGAAGTCACTCTGTTTCATCAGAAAATGGATAGGGTTAGGGTTTGAAAAATTCATAAAAAATGGAAAATAAATAAATTGGACTGCACCCCCTCAATATGACACAGATTATATGTACTAAGTTTGAGATGTATCCACTGAATGGTTTAAGAGAAATCGCGCGGACAAAGTTTTCGGACGGACGGACGGAACCTTGGTATAACTATATAATAACTATTATAACACCTCAAAATTAAAAAAACCCACCTCCTTCAACCCAAGACTTTTGACTAAACAATACGTTGAATGTTGATGTGACTTTTAGCTCCCCCTAGCATTTAAGAAAACCACTGCAACATACATGTTTCTGTATTTTACTTATCAGAGTTCTATTTGAAATGGGGGGGGCGGTCGGGTAGCCTAGTGGTTAAAGCGTTCGCTCGTCACGCAGGAGACCCGGGTTAGATTCCCGACATGGGTACAATGTGTGAAGCCCAATTCTGGTGTCCCCCGATGTGATATTGCTGGAATATTGCTAAAAACGGCGTCAAACCATACCCACTCACGCACTCACTATTTGATATGGGAAAACAAATCCTCAACACATCCCATTTGCTACCTTACCCTGTGCACAGATATTGGTCCATCTTCCTGAAGCAAGTGAGTTATCTGACTTTAAAAGTCCAGTTTTCACCATTGCTGAACTAGACTCGAATCGACAACATGGCAACTCCCGTGCCAATTTCGTTCGATTGCAGGATTTGCAGAAAATGTGTACCATCAACTCAGCATCAACTAATATTTTCTAAATGTTTTCATGTTTTTAATCAAGTGCTCAAGTGATGAGATGCACTTTGCGAGGTTAAGCCCGTTTTTTATTACAGTAAAGATCTTTATTATCGATGAGATCATCTTGACTGGGCACTGCCATTTTGCTTGAAGAAAATGCAAGTGATATGAGATATGGAATATGATTGGTCAATCAGTCAATCTTTATTACAGAAATACTGAAAGGCCATAGTCCTATAGTACATATTGTTGTGAATAGTGGGCGGACATATTAATTTCTACTTATTTAAGTCACTCATCTTATTTCTAAAATTCATTGCATGGAATATATACACAGTCAAAGCCTTAAAATTCAGTACATTAATATTGAGACATCAATACATTAAACTTAAACATATTTGGAAATTGTTTCATTGATGGATGTAGGGATGCAATTCGTAAATTCTGATAAAATGGACAAATGAGAATAAAATGGTACTCATGCTCTATTAGCTGTAAATTACACATTCTGGCATAATCTAATTTACTGTCATAGCGACTGATTTACGACATCCATTGTCTGAAGAACATTTGATTGCAAAGGCTCATTACCCTGGAGCCATGACATCTATATGCCTTGAAACACTTAATTGCTTTTATTTATTAGATGCTAATCCTATTTGTTAATCCCCATTTTTGTGTTCATCGACCGTCTGCAATCCTGAACAGGATGTGCAAGTATGTCACTGATGATTTACTGTTTACATTTATATTTATTACTTACTAAATGTCAGGTGACCTTGGCTATATAAGCCTTGGTCCAGAAAGGAGAAAGAAAGGTCTTACCCTTAGCCTAGCTAGGGTTAGGCTGGGTGCTCCGGGGCACCAAGACAACAAGCACTACCACTATGTGCTGACTTGGCACATAGTGTCATTTGTATGTATCTATCTACATGTATAAAGTAAAACTGTATATACTGCAAGCCATCGTCTCCAAGTTGTCACTTCCTACTGAGAACCATACGTCGGCCCCTTGCATATACGAGTGTGCAAATTATTCATTAATCAACGTCAGACCGACACGCGTTGATATTACTCTGGGTCAATCTGATTGGTCAGTCGTGGGGGCAAAGAATGGATGTAACTCGTAATAACCACTGGTGGAGTTACGATCAAGCCTAGTTTGGCCAAGGTTGGAAACTGATCTTTTTAGGTCAGGTAACTCCTTTGTCTCAGGAAGATGATAGTGGCCAAAAGAAACTAAAAGAACCCCAACATAACCGTTGGCTTATAATTCATCATAAGTAAAAGCCAAAACAATCCTCTTACTCACATAATATAGCATCCTTGCTAAGCCAGTGTATTTTTATCCCCATTTCTGTTATGATAAATACTGACTGGGTCATCTGTGGCCCCAATCATAAGTGCAAGGTGTATTATGGTGTATGTTAAGATAGGGATTCATGGAATAAGCAATTTTGTTCATTTGTCATGAAGTTACTGTTACTTTTTCAATTAAGAAATGACTTTCACTTTGTGTGAGTTCATTGGATTATGAACCTTCATAGAGTGAGCGCCAAACTGTTTGAACATCGGAGCTTGCGACGACGTTTATACAATATTTGGCCCTCACTCTATGAAGGTTCATACTCCAATGAACTCACACAAAGTGAAAGTCAATTCTTATAAAAAAAATTATCACAATTTCTTACCTCAAAGGATTTAGGCCAAGATCTAAACCCAATTTTATTTAGTATGTGTGACTTCATGTTTACACTGACAGCCATACAACAACCAGCTATATCGCGGAGTAAAATAGTTCCTCAAAGAGAGTGGTGACATGAACGTATGGATGCACAACTTGCTCATCAGAAACATCTTACGCAGCACATGGGTTCAAATCATATCCTCATTAGATGAGAAAGTTCTGTAAAGAACTACCTCAGTAAGTCAGTCACAATGACAGCGCGTCATAATACATTTACATCAAGCACAAGACGTCAAAACGGCCGACACGATAAACGTGACGGGAGAGATTTCCGAAGTTGTTAATGAACCTGTGGCGGTTACATGTTTTAGTTATCATTGATCAACTGGCCGATCATTGAAAGGTGAATAAAGATGCGTCAAACAGACACTAAGGTAAATTCATAGATTGCTGGAGACGATCAGTGTCAGTCTATACACGAATCGAGTCGATACTAAGCTAGTTTAGATGTGCATTTCTTCGTTTGTTTAATAGGATAGGCCGTAGAGAGGTTATTCGTGAACAATCATGCAGTCACGCTCTCTGACATTTCTCAACGTATACTGAAACGCGGAGACCAAGAATAAAGGTTCTAAATAATCAGAAAGAATGCTTATGTATGTTTTCGTGCTAGGTAATTCCAAGGGGTTTCCCCAGGAATGTGGAAGTAGTCCGTCAGTGTTTACGTCATTTCAAGAACACGGTCTCGTGAAAAACATATGAACGTCAATTTCGAGGTCATGTGACCGACCTCTCATCCAATGGAAAAGCCGTATATCGTGTAAACTTCAAGTTAAAAAATTATATGCATTTATCTTTCAGTGATCAAGAATGGCTGACGGAGAAAGTGTGGGTTTCCCTGAACTAGATTGTGAGTATTCTACTATCTAAGTATATTGCAGTCTAGATCAACAATGAATGACAATACTAGATATATAGATATAGATGTAGGGCTAAATCAATGAGACCACCTCCATGGTCTATTGTTAGAACATCTGCCCGGAGAGCGGAAGGTCGGGGCTTCGATCCCCAGTCGTGTCATACCAAAAGATGTTAAAAGATGGTATTTGTTATTACCCTGCCAGGCGCTCTGTATAAAGGGGCTAAGACAAAGACTGGTTGGCTCAGAGTCGGTATACTGTGTCTGAGTGGGGTTTTCATGTTAAACTGCAGCATGTTATCTCAGTGGAGTAGCACTATAATATCAGTATGAACTAGTACAAGCAGCCACACACACATATATACATGCAGGTCACTATATATAAGTGCAATAATCTTGGACATGACTTAAAACACCATTTCACCTCACCTCACATAAATCAATGAGGTGAGATGAGGTGAAATGGGGTTTAAGATCTCGTTCAAGATTATTGCACCTATATAGCACTGTGCATGCATATGTGTGTGTGGCTGCTTGTACTAGCCCAGATTTATTCTGGTTTTATAGTTCCAGCCCACAGTTTAACACAGATGACTCAGCTCTTATTGCTGGTCGCCAGGAGGGGTAACAGCAAGTATCACCTATAAATGTCTTTTGGTATGAGATGGTCAGAGGACTGAACCACAGGCCTTCCACTCTTAGAGCAGCTAAATTATTGAATGACGATAATAGATACTGCAAAAATGTAGAGCTTGATCAATTAGTGCTGGGCTAGGAAATAAACATTTCAGTTTCACAAATGCTACTCACTGACTCTCACTTTCTCACAACACTTTCAAAGTACTTTCTTTCCTCATTCACACAAGATATGAAAACACTTAAACTGCACTCACATTACTTCCTCTCAACACTTTCAAAGTACTTTCTTTCCTCACACAATATACATACACTGTAAAATTAACTGCATTCACAACACTGTCAAAGTTTGTTTGTTTGTTGCTTAACGCCCCACTCAGCAATATTCCAGCTATATGATGGCGGTCTGTAAATAATCAAGTCTGGACCAGACAATCCAGTGATCGACATCATTCGCATCGATCCACACAATTGGGATACGATGACATGCATCAACCAAGTCAGTGAGCCTGACCACACGATCCTGTTAGTCGCCTCTTACAACAGCATGGGTGGCTGAAAACCTATTCTACCATGGATCTCCCGAGTCCACTGTCAAAGTACTGGCGTTCCTTCCTCACACAATATACATATACATTGTAACACAAACTGTGCATGCATTCACAACACTGTCAAAGTACTGGCGTTCCTTCCTCACACAATATACATATACATTGTAACACAAACTGTGCATGCATTCACAACACTGTCAAAGTACTGGCGTTCCTTCCTCACACAATATACATATATATTTGTAACACAAACTGTGCATGCATTCACAACACTGTCAAAGTACTGGCGCTCCTTCCTCACACAATATACATATACATTGTAACACAAACTGCCTTCACAACACTGTCAAAGTACTGGCATTCCTTAATCACACAATAACCATACATTGTAACACAAACTGCCTTCACAACACTATCAAAGTACTGGCGCTCCTTCCTCACACAATATACATATACATTGTAACACAAACTGCCTTCACAACACTGTCAAAGTACTGGCGTTCCTTAATCACACAATAACCATACATTGTAACACAAACTGCCTTCACAACACTGTCAAAGTACTGGCGCTCCTTCCTCACACAATATACATATACATTGTAACACAAACTGCCTTCACAACACTGTCAAAGTACTGGCGTTCCTTAATCACACAATATACATATACATTGTAACACAAACTGCCTTCACAACACTGTCAAAGTACTGGCGTTCCTTAATCACACAATATACATATACATTGTAACACAAACTGCCTTCACAACACTGTCAAAGTACTGGCGTTCCTTCCTCACACAATATACATACATTGTAACACTAACTTCATTCATGTCAAAGTACTGTCATTCCTCAATCACACAATATACATACATTGTAACTCCTGCAATGACAACACTGTAAGAGGACTGTCTATCCTTCATACATGATGTGTAGGAGAAGAACCTTAATGACTATTTATCAATTAGCTTCAGCTGTATTAACATCAGATGACAGTGGATTCCAATCAACACCAGTCCAAGATGAACAACAGGAGGATAACAGGACAGTGACAGGCCGAATGAATCTATATGCTAAACTTCTGCAAATCAGCCAATACTCGTATCTTCATGTCTTCATGAGTGAGGTGGGTGTACCTAAGAAACATAGTACGACAGCTCAACAGATATGTTGTCAACCATTCAAAATATTCAAATATCTCCTGCATATATACTGAGATCTAAACACTGAAATCTAATGTCATCACAAGAAGGCATGCAAAGTTCAGCTCCCTCAGTGTGGCAATTTCATAGGAAAAGTTTATGGTGTCAATTATGCATTTTGAGGAAATTAGGAGCATGGCCAAAATGCAAATGTCAAATAGAGGGCACTTTAACAATGTATAAATGTAAAAGAGTTTTAGTTCACAATTATTGTACCTCCAGTCTTTGGCTCGTAAGCTTATAATCATCGGCAATTTCCGGAAGTAATCGTATATGTCAATTTTTTCCTATTTTAAATAAAAGCCTTTCTCTGCAATTTATAAGATTGGCAGAACTAATTAATTTCTATATTCAGTTTATTAATTAGTAGTATTTTCACTTTCTATATCTCGTAACGAAAATGTTCCACATTTTCCCATGGTGCATTTTTGTTATCATCTCATCTCGCGCCAAGCTCATGCTGATGTAGTGTCTTTTCCCAGCAAGCCATTTTCAACGTTTATACTTCATTTTTTTGTGGGGGGTTAAAGAGGACCAAGCAAAATATCTCTCTTCAATCTCGTTTATTCGCCGTAGTAGCTAGAATCGTAGCCACCCATGGCGTAACCCCCAAGGAGTCTACAAACAGCTGAGACACTTCAGATGGAGCAACACATCTCCATGGTGACACTCGTTATTTTCTGGGAAATGAAGTATAAACGTTGAAACATTTTCGTTACGAGATATAGAAAGTGAAAATACTACTAATTAATAAACTGAATATAGAAATTAATTAGTTCTGCCAATCTTATAAATTGCAGAGAAAGGCTTTTATTTAAAATAGGAAAAAATTGACATTTACGATTACTTCCAGAAATTGCCGATGATTATAAGCTTACGAGCCAAAGACTGGAGGTACAATAATTGTGAACTAAAACTCTTTTACACTCCCCTGCTACAAAGTTGGCCCCTGACAACTAACTATACTGTTCATTACATCATGAACATGAAAGACTAACAATGAATGTGTTGCACAATCTTCGTGAAGTACATGTACAAACTTCTATAGAATTAGCAAGTTGCAAGAAAATGTATTTCGTATGCATCCTGAGATTTCTTTTAGTTTTTCAGCACCAGCATAAATGTCAATAATAAAACATAACCAAGAAAGACATTCCAACTTTAACAGGACTAGGATATGACTAGAATGCAAATATACCCGTATTATACATGTATAATCAATGGATGGACGGATGACAACTATTTGCTGGACTTTGATAGCATCTCCATCAGCAATAAATGAGCTTTGCTCATTTCCAAAAGCAACTTTAAATCAACAGTCTCTTTGGGATTTTCAACTGGTGTCATGACAATCTCTTCTTGCACTGCTGACTTCGGCAAAGCATATGGGTTTGAATGCTTTCCTGCAGTCGAACGTGTTGACTTGCGAGGGAGGCTAGCCTCATGAACTACACTTGTACAGTCACAGTCAGGCAAGTCAACATTGTCAACAATATTATGGTTCACTATGACACTGTCATGATCACAATCTGTAATCACAGTTTTGATTACAGGTTCGGTGTCCTCTATCTGCTGAACGTTAGGCACCTGTTCAGTGGAGTCAACACTTTCAGGTTGGACATTCACCTGATCATGAACACCGGTATTGATCTCTTCCTCCCCTGCTGTAGGAGAAGCACTTCTCTTCGCAGGAACATTTTCCGGTTCAGGTTCACAAGGACTCAATATTCTGAATAGAGTAGATTCTGGCAAGACCTCATCGACCTGTTCACTTAACCCATTCAAGCAAACATCATCTGCCACTTCCGTCTGTTGATCTAACGATACTCGTTGGATGTCCGGCACAAGAGTACGAGAGTCTAGCATTTCTGAGCGATGAACCCATTTCTCTCCATCACCATTCAAGGGTGAAACGATGTAGGCGCTTGGCTCTTGTTTTCCAACCACTTTGTAGGGTTCTGGACGCCACATGTCCTGTATCTTGTGACGACCTGGTGGGTGGTTCTTGAGGAAGATTCTAGCGCCTATGGGAATCTCTTTATTGTTGGCATTTTTGTTAAGAACTGTTCTACGTTTCAACGCTGCTGCTTCAGTTCGTTTGCTAGCTTGTTGGTAGGCTGTCTGTAACCTCTCCTGGTGTTCGGTGACCCACTCAGACTCTGTTTGACTGTTTTCTGAGCTGCTGCCAATGATTAGATCGATTGGTAGTATAGGATCCCGGCCAAAGAACAGATAGTATGGAGAGTATCCAGTGGAGGCATGTGGAGTGCTGTTATAGGCATAGCACAGCTCTGGCAGCAAGATTGGCCATTTCTGCTTTTGGTCAAGTGGAAGAGTCCTCAACATGTTGTGAAGCGTCCTGTTATATCGCTCACATTGGGCGTTGCCTTCTGGGTGGTAGGGAGTGGTCTTCATTTTCGATATTCCATAGATAGAGCATAGTTCTTGTACAATCTTGTTTTCAAAGGATCGACCTTGATCGCTGTGAAGCCTGATAGGGACACCAAACTTTACAAACCACTCAGTGACGAGGATCTTTGCTACTGTTCTTGCCGTTTGATCTCGAGTAGGATAAGCCTGGGTATACTTTGTGAAGACGTCAGTGAGGACAAGGACATTTTCAAAACTGTGGTATCCCTTCTCCAACATCGTAAAGTCCATGGCAAGAATCTCAAGAGGCTTGGATGTGATGATGGAACCATAGGTTGGTTTTACACTTGGATCATGTTTTCCCAGCATACAGCGTTGACACTGAGAACAGTGTTGCTCCACATCTATTGCCATGTATGGCCAAAAACATCTGTCCTTCAATATGGCCAATGTCCGAGCTGTGCTAGGATGACCACTGTCGTTGTGAGCTGACGTGAGGATTCTGGTAAGCAGGCCTTGTGGTATCACAACTTTCTCGCGGACTTTGCCTCCTTCCTTGGTAATTCTGTAGAGTATCCCATCCTTGGTGATGAGGCTCTTTCTCAAGGTGTAAAGCTTTCTGGTGTTGGGGTGGTCAGTCTTCAGAGTCCGTCGAGAAGGATAACGAGCCTGTTCCTTGTAGACTAGGAATCGGGCCATAGTTGGGTCTTCACGCTGCAATTTTGACATTTCTTTGTTCGCTATAGTAGGAACTTGTATGGAAGGCAGTGGGGCTTGTTTTTGTGGTATCCCAACAACGATGGACTCGATCCTGACAGTCTTGATGTCGGTCTCAGCTTGTTTGATCAGGTCAGAGGGTAATCTCGTTGTGGATGGCTGGACATATATGGCCTCTAACCTGACAACTTCTGGACCATGCTGTTCCTTCCGACTTAGAGAGTCTGCATTCTTGTTTTTCCTTCCAGGCTTATGGCGGATGGTGAGGTTGAAAGTTGCGAGTTCTCCCATCCATCTCGTTTCAGTGGCACTGAGCTTCGCAGAGGTTTGGATATAGCTTAATGTGTCGTTGTCAGTGTACACAACACACTCAGCTCCAAGGAGAAGATCCCGGTACTTTTCCGTTACTGCCCACTTCAGTGCTACTAACTCTAGTTTACGCTACTGTAATTTTCCATGTTCTTCTCGCTTGGCCTCAAAGAACGACTAGCATATCCCAATACAACCTTCCCGGCCTCTTGACTCTGTGATAACACAGCTCCTAATCCTAAGTGACTCGCGTTAATCTCCAAGATGTAGGGCTTTGAAAAATCAGGGTGACCAAGTATTGGTGCCATGGTCAATCGACGCTTCAGCTCCTCGAAGGCGCCGTCACATGAGCTGTCCCAAGCATCGATTCCACGCTTCTCTTGCCTAGTATTCTTTTTCTTCTTCCCAGAGGTAGGGCCTTGTAATAGAGCATGAAGGGGTCCTGCTATAGAAGCAAATCCAGACACAAATTTCCTGTAGTAACCGGTGATGCCAAGGAATCCTCTGAGCTGTTTGTCGGTTTTGGGGGGTGACCACTCTGTGATCGCTCGGATCTTTTCTGGGTCTGGTGCAATACCTTCTGCCGACACGATATGTCCTAAATACCGCAATCTTTCTTTGAAAAGTTGACACTTCTCTGGTGTAACCTTTAAGTTGTTCTTTGTCAGCCTCTCTAGCACCATGTCAAGCCGTTCAAGTGTTTTTTCATATGTCGAGCCGAATATCAAGATGTCGTCAAGGTATATCAATAGAGTTTGGGAATTTTGATCGCCAAAGATTTTGTCCATTAGACGCATGAATGTTGCTGGAGCACCAGTCAGACCAAAGGGCATCCGTAAATACTCGTATAAGCCTCCAGTACCAATGCGGAACGCGGTCTTCTCAACATCTTCTTCCTCTACGGCAATCTGGTTAAAACCATGAGCGAGGTCTAAGGAGCAGAAATATTTGGCACCTTTCAGTACTGTCAGGGCTTCGTCAATTCTCGGCAGAGGATAGGCATCCTTACGGGTTTTGAGACTTAGCGCACGATAGTCACAACATACCCTTAGTTTGTTTCCTTTCCGGACGAGGACGACTGGAGACGCGTAGGGGCTTGAAGACTCCTGGATTAACCCAATACTCAGGGAACGCTTGATATAATCCCGAACCTCTTCCCATTGACTTGGTGGTACTCTTCTGTGCGGAACCCGAATAGGTTTTGTATCTTCCAAGACAATACGGTGTTTGATGGCTTCGCAATATCCAATGTCATCTTTGTCCTTGCTGAATATGTTGCTATGCTTTGAAATGATTTCTTTAAGTTTTTCTTGTTCAGGGTCAGAAAGTGTTTGATTGACATCCATTCTCTGGAGTAGCTGGTTGGTGAGCTCAGACTTGGCGCAATGGTTTAAATTGACTACATGTACCCCATTTTCTTCCAAATGTACGTCGACACTTGGCTCAACATCGGCTCTGCTAAGAAGACCAATTACAGTCCTTGGACGCAGGTAGACATCAGTATCAGTAAAGTTAGCAACTTGGAATGGGACACATCCACTGTGATCAACTGTCACGACACTTCGACCTAACTGGGTCCCTTTCGGCAGTGGAGTTGAACTTGCCTCGATGATTCCAGTGAATGGCTGTTTGCTGGCTCTGACGCTACCATTGATGGCTTGAAGCGAGCGTGCAGGAATGAGGACTGGTTTCTTCCCTGGAATTCGTACTTTCAACTCGGAAGGTACTGTGATCTCTTCAAAGAGAGCAAGAGTTCGTTGGAGTTCATCCGAGATCTGAAGCTTGTCTCGATCAATTGTTCTCTTAAAATCTCGCAAGGCATTAGCCCCAAGGACTCCAGGAACTTCTGTTTTGCGCTTCCCTAATTCTAAATCTGTGGTATCTCTGACTACTAGGAAAGCAACGTCTTCAAGGTCGTGGTCGTATGCTTTTACTTTTAAGACGATGCAGCCCACGTAGGGAATCTCGGATCCACTGCCTGACACAATGCGAATCATCTGTCCGATGTCAAGTCAGTAACAGGACAAGTCCCTACGATCTTAGGAAAAGTTGGACCGCTTACATCAGTCCCCACTGTGTGATCCTTCACAGTGGGTGGATCTAGTTTAAAGATCCACCCCGACCACCTCGACCACCCCTTCGACCTCTTGGAGCTTCTCGCCGCGGTCTCTCCAAACAGTCTTGCTGGAAGTGTCCCTCTTGTCCACAGAACCAGCAGGCAAAGGACCGTTCTCTCTGGTTTTGCTGAACAGCCTTGAGGGAGTTGAGGATTTGCTCGATTTGTTGCTGCTGTTTTTCCACGACACTCTCTAAGGCTGTATGCTCATTCATAGTGACTCTGCCGCTGGTAGTGGAGTTAGAGGAGCTTCTGGTCCAGCTGACCAATGTGTCTCATAGATCGAAGAAGGATAACTCAGGCTGTTCCCGAGTAAGTCATCTTATTTCGCGCCGATGGACATCACTGGCAGCTGCTTCGGCGAATTACCCTTCAAGGCTGCGTCTCGCTTGGATCTGCAGGACGGGTCTATTTCTACAATGTTTGCATAGAGATCCGCTAGATCTAAGGAAAGGGTCACAAGATCCTGACCCGGCAGTTGTTTGTGAGAGTAGAAGCGGTGTTGGGCAGCCGCCAGATCCTCCCCATCACCAAAAACACGACGAAGAAGGTTTGCAATTCTTGTGGGGTTTTTCTTGATAGACTCCTCCCGGTTGAGGATTTCACGACGTGCCCATCCGCCCAAATGTTCCACCATCAGCTGTGCATGGTCTGCAGTGGTCAAATGGCGAGATTCGCTGGCAGCTTGGAGGTCTGCTAGCCATTCCTCCAGCGTGACATCGGATATTTTCGTTGCTCTGTCCATGAATCGGCTGAGCTTACTCCCTGTGGCAAAAACCATGGCTGGCTTGGATGACTGTTGCTCCAATAGTTGCTTCTGTTGAGCGATTTGTAGTTGAAGGGCAGCAAGTTGTTCTTCCAGTGCTTCCATGTTGCTATTGGAGATCGAACCTTCCTCTGCTAGGTTAAGAGCTGCACCATCATCTGGTCCAGATTCATTTTCGTCGTCCATCTGCAAGTGCAGGACATCTTCTTCTGCCATGATGACGACACATCAGCTCTCCCTGGGGGTTACTTGTTGGCGAATCCCACTTCTGACACCATTTTTGTGGGGGGTTAAAGAGGACCAAGCAAAATATCTCTCTTCAATCTCGTTTATTCGCCGTAGTAGCTAGAATCGTAGCCACCCATGGCGTAACCCCCAAGGAGTCTACAAACAGCTGAGACACTTCAGATGGAGCAACACATCTCCATGGTGACTCTCGTTATTTTCTGGGAAATGAAGTATAAACGTTGAAAATGGCTTGCTGGGAATAGACACTACATCAGCATGAGCTTGGCGCGAGATGAGATGATAATAAAAATGCACCATGGGAAAATGTGGAACATTTTCGTTACAAGATATAGAAAGTGAAAATACTACTTAAAGGGCAAGTTCACACGGAAATGAACCTAATTTTCTTGTACTTTTTCCACAATAAAAGTGTTAACCTAGAAGTGTTATAGACAAAAATATAAAAATATCACAATTAATTAACATATGTTTCGCATTAAAACGATTTATATTTTTCACATTTACCAAGTGTTCTATTTCCATAACAAAAACACCATGGCTTATGTCCCTTGCAATATGACGTCATTGGTGCCAATTGATAAACATTATGACGTCATCATGCTTTGTTAGAGCCGCTTCACGTGGTGTAGGTACAGGTGTGTGATTCTAGCGTCTCAGATGCCAGCCAGCATAGTGTTATGCTGAGTCACCACTGCGCCGGAGTGTGTCGTAGGCCATGTTGTTTTACCGAAAACTTGTACTTGATATCTTTTGCGTTCAGAATAGACAGGGACCCAGTTGAATTGGCACCAATTACGTCATAATCTAAGGGGGATAACTCAGGCCTGTTTAGCTCGTAAAACGAAGGCCTCATAACGGCATATCATTTTCACACTATTGTGAGCTTCCTACTTTCACTGTGAAAAAAATGAGTGTATATTTTCAAACACAGATACTAACTAATTCTAAAATTGCGTTTTGTTTAGAAAAAGAAAGAAAGTGATTTTTGCGTGTACACTTCCCCTTTAATCAATAAACTGAATATAGAAATTAATTAGTTCTGCCAATCTTATAAATTGCAGAGAAAGGCTTTTATTTAAAAAAGGAAAAAATTGACATTTACGATTACTTCCGGAAATTGCCGATGATTATAAGCTTACGAGCCAAAGACTGGAGGTACAATAATTGTGAACTAAAACTCTTTTACATAAATTCAAAACATCAAGTCTAATTCTGCTCAGAAATTTTTGTGTTCTTCACACTAGTTGTGGTGAAATGTCTAACTGTTGTTAATCCTCAATAGGAGAGCAGTTTGAAGGGTTGGTTTGTTGTTTAACGCCGCACTCAGCAATATTCCAGCTATATGACGGCGGTCTGGAAATAATCGAGTCTGGACCAGACAATCCAGTGATTAATATAATGAGCATCGATCCACGCAATTGGGATCGATGACATGCATCAACTAAGTCAGCGAGCCTGACCACCTGATCCCATTAGTCGCCTTTTACGACAAGCATAGTCACCTTTTACAGCAAGCATGGGTTGCTGAAGACCTATTCTACCCGGAATGCAGTTTGAAGGGAAAGAAATTGAGGTGTGATTATTTATTGTGTGACCCCTTTATAGATTTAAACATCATCAAACTGTCTTGGTCTGTCTTGATTAATGTATTGTTGTGTGCAGACTTAGAAGAATCAGTGAAGCAAAATACTCTAAATCTTCACACAAGTAGTATTTCAGGTGTCAATAAATGGTTATGATCAGTTGTCTGGACTTTGAGTGTATGTGCAGAATGTCATGAAATGTGTTCCAGTCTCTTTCCTAAATATACATGATCTGTTGCAGGAGCTCAGCCTTAGGGACTTGGAAGAGGCCCGTTGCAGAACTGTCCAGGAGATTGGAGATAAAGTGACACTGCTAAGACTAGAGAATATATTCTATCCATATGTTGGAAGGATGAGGGTATGTGAATAATTTTAGCTGCACTTTGTACTTTATTTTACCTTTTATTTTCAGTGAAATGGTTGTTCGGCTTTACTCAACCTGTTTCACGTAACATGCAATAAAGGATCTGAAGGAGGTCAAATGTGCACTGTCAAGCAAAAAATACATACTCATAGAAAAAGTAAGGGCCTGCATGAGGAGTTTATTGGAACAGTCAGGAATGCTATGTGATGATTCAGTCAAATTTCTAGTCCAGTGCCCTGATTCACAAAGCGTTTGTAGCACTACAAACATCGTAAAGCCCGTCATAACTTTATGACAAAAATCTTAAGCGATCCACAAAGCCAACTTAGGGAAAATATCTCGTAAAGCTAAGAGTAAAGTTACAAGTGGTCAGTACCTATTGTAAATCAAACATTTCTGTCGTAGCTTTAGAATCAAGATATTTTTTGCTTGGCTTATTAGATGGCTATTAACGATCTTAATTTACAATGATTGTAAGACAATGAATTTACGAACGGATTAGAACGCTTTGTGGATTGGTCATAAATATTGGTAGAATTCTCTTAATTTCAATTGTAAACTCTTACGATATATGTAAGTTACAAACGCTTTGTGGGTTGGGGCCCAGGTCACAAGATGCAATGAAATGTTTCATTCAGGAAGTAATGATAGTAGAAAAGGAGAATTCATATTTGGATACTATAAAGAATTAATACAATAAACCACCACAAAAGAATAAACATATCTGCATGACTAGATTTATTATGAATAACATTTTTTCTTGAATGTCATAATTAACCAAACCTAGGAATATGTGAGTTTGTTCATGTTGGCATATATATATATACTTCCACTGGGGAGATCATTTTCTCCTGTAAACCTCTATATCTTATCTAGCCAGTGGAAGTATCTGGCGGCCGCCAGATAAAATAAAGAGGCATACAGTGAAAAATGATCTCACCAGTGGCGGGTATGGGCCACCGTAGTTTTCCCATGCAATGCAAACATCTTTGTAGTTGTTTTTATTTTAGACTTTGTGTTCAACTTTGCATCAACATACATTTATACAAGAAATCTGGTATACTGTGAAATAAATCAAATTCATTTTCAGCTACGACTGGCATTTGATGTGAGGGCACAAAGATTCAGTCTTCCATCACCTCTATTGGAAGACATTATGGATCTCACAGAAGAAGATTCTCCTGTCAAGTTGCTTGGAAGTATTAAAGGGAACACCAATGGACATCCCTTTATTGACATCCTGACTCCATATTATGAAAGTAAGACTTAAGATCTGTTAAACATCACTTTGATACCTTAAGTCATTGTCACACGAAGTATTCAAGCACGAGGCAGCAGTAGTAGACATTTTAACAAAATAGAAGTTACATGTTTATTTGTAAATTATATTGACCTCATAAAAGTATTCCTAAAATAAACCATTTACTTTTTTACTGAAATAATGCAAATTCAAACTTCACATTGAACTGCACGATTTGAACTGTAATCATGGTAATAGATAATTCACTTTGACCAATATGTCCACCTGATCTTTAATAAAACCTGCACAGGAAATCACACAATAAGTTTATAAGTTCATGTGCAAATGTAATCTCATTTATGATACAAATGATTTTTTAAAAGATATCATTACATTGATTGTCTATAAAACTTGCATGTCAACACAAGAACTAATTAACTGTTTTCTAAACAAATGTAATGAAATCCTGTCGTTCAGTTCTATGACAGTCGTAGACTGTGATTGCTGCTTGTCAATGATTGTATTTGACATACCTCGTATATTGCAGGAGCAGTTATGGTCTGGATCTTCAGATACAATTGGCTCCTAAACATCACATCTGGACACATCAGACTGGTGGGCACAGGCAGAATCACATTCAATAAGCTTCTTAGGAAGGAGGAGATTGACATTATGGTGTGTGTACATTATTATTTTGTAAGTTATACTGCATTGCTACCTTAATGCTTTTACTGATTTTTTTACTACAAAGACGAGCTGCAGAAGATGTTGTTCAAACTAGTTGTATGGCTCATATCCTTCCTCAGCCAATCTCATTAAAATCCAATCTTAGTTCTCGCTACCGCTAAACAAAGATCTGAGGACATACCATTACGGTTCATGTCAGAACGACCTTTCATCCGACCAATCAGAGCGTCGCTTACCAGATCATGAACGTGACAGTCAGAATGTGATTTCTAATCATTCGACCTCAAAAACTTTAACACGGGATATTCCGAACGATCGTTACGGGCTTAAGACTGAATCCATACAATCTAGACCATCTATTAGCCATTCCAGAACGTCCTTCTGTTCAAATTTGTAATCGAGAACTTGTCAAAATATGTTTCGAAGCGTAGTTGCTAATTTGAAATTAGTGCCGTAAAGCACGAGAAAGCTGCCTTCTGATTGGTCATTCCATTGGTCGGTCAAAGTTCGTGCAAGGTCGGTCTGACATGACCCGTAATGGCATGTCCTCAGATCTTTGTTTAGCGTTAGCGAGAACTAAGATCACATATAATCACATAACTGCTAGTCATCAGACTGTTTAGACGTTTGAGTAATAAACTCTCAGTTTCTACAAAACAGATAGCATCCTTTGCTTCTCCTTTTGGTTACTAATACGTTCATAATTGTATTTAATATAGTTTTGACATGTTATTGTGGTCCTTTCAGGTTTACAATTAGCGTAATTTAAGCACGAGTTAGGCCCTCTGCCACACTTTACTCTGTGCATGTTTTGTTCCATCTGCCATTTGGGATTTGCCACGTTGTCTGCATGTCTGGTGCTTTGATATTTCATATTTCTATTTTAGCTCTTGTTCATGTGTTGTTAACAATACTATCCTGGGCTTTTTAAGTGTATACTATAATTCTTAAATTAAATAAAATTTGGCTTGTAAACTGCAATGATTTCTTACTTTATAGTTTATAAATGACAAAACACAGAAATAGCAACAAAAATTTATTAATGTTTGGCAGGGGGATTCTCATTGTAATACTGACCCAGTCAGGCATACTGCAATATGCATACCATAATTAAGCCTGACTGGGTAAAAAATGATGTGCATATACTCGCGCCCGAGTATAAATGCACCGGTTAGAATGGCTGCCAGCCTACCTGCGACCAGGTAGTCTGGTCAGCCTACCTGCGACCAGGTAGTCCAGTGAAGCTACAAGCATGGTTCCCAGACCTCGAGCTTGCCCTGATGGTAGGGGCACTTCACTGGTTGCTAGAGGATAAGTTGCAATTTGCAAAATGGTGGTTTGAATTACTTATGGAAGGGGGGAAGAAGATCCACTTGTGTGGATGCTAGCCTTATTACAATGAGAACCCAGGTGGAAATACATGACATATAAAAGCACAATTGCTAAATGTAACCATTTGTAAAGTTGGTGGTGACTATACAAGCAATGGACATGATGGATGCAAGTTAAATACATGACAAGTAAAAAGAATGAAATTGAGTACTTGGTGGTTGGAAGGAGCAATGAATAAGCAATGTAGTTTGATATGAATATCTAGACAATTATGAGTACAAATTGTAGAGCTTGGCACAGGGTAAGATAGATATATAATGTAAATGTACATTTGCTGGAATTGTAATATGGCAAGAAGCATGTAAGAAATAAATACATATAATGTGATTTGGCACATGATAAAACTAGATATAGAAATAATATTTATGTTAACAAGAATTGTTATTTCCAGCAATGGTGGCGATTGGGGATGGTGGTGGGTACGTCGTGAGAAAAAAGCTGCTAACAATGGCGCGCAAAACAAACTGATGCGCATGCGTGGAATATAGACATCCTGACAATAGATATTACTGAGCATGCGCGGATGCCAATACTGACAGAGAAATACTACGCATGTGCAAATGATAAAAACATCCGGACATGATGCACCAGATCAATAAATTACGTATTATGTAGCAATACAAAAATACAATGACAGAAATGCTAAATTTTAAAATATAGATTGTGAGGTAACAATGGTTGAAATATGTAGAAACGAAATAATGTTTGCCTTTATAAACTATGCTTAACGACTTAAGCAGCAATTTATAAATGACAAAACAAAGAAATAGCAACAAAAATTTATTATATAAGGACATGGCTCCATTATGACAGGCTCCGCCATCATGCATGATAGCAGAGCTTCAAATTAAGACAAGAGATATTATTGGATGAAATGGTCGCGGATGTGGAGGTACTGGTGGACTACGGCAATGAGCTTAACCCCTGTTAAGCAACCCCAACTGCAGCAACCGCTGCCCTGCAACAACCATTGCCAAGCAACCCATGTTGCTTACCGATGCAGCATCCGCTGCCCCGCAACTACCGTTGCCAAGCAACCCATGTTGCTTACCAATGCAGCGCCTGCTGCCCTGCAACTACCGTTGCCAAGCAACCCATGTTGCTTACCAATGCAGCGCCCGCTGCCCTGCAACTACCGTTGCCAAGCAACCCATGTTGCTATGCAGCTATCGCTGCCAGGCAAGTACCATTGCCAAACCATAAGCGAGGGCAACTATTGTTGCCAAGCTGACCATCCACTGTAAAGCGGACACTAAGCCATCTGCTGTAAAGCAGAATGGATAAATTGGTTCCTGCTGTAAAGCGGGTAACCCTATCCTACATAATTTATAATTTGGGATGTATCCCAAGACGCCAAATGAAACTTGTAATGCAGTCCACCAGCACCCCGCCACAAGCACCAAGGTGCTTCCCCACATCCACGACCATTCGCGCTCATGTACACCCACCGTGTTATCCTATACTGAAATTGTTTCCTACAAGCATACTGCGGAAAGGGAGCTGCCAATGTTTTGTGTGAAAAGATCAAGTCCGGCCGGTGACAAATGAACCCCGTCACGCAGGTACAGTTGCTGCTCCTGCCGGTTGAACACTGTGTGGGCCCTGTTCCCCACTCGTCTGTTCAGCTTCTGCCTGGCCCCGTCCAGGTCCGGGGCACAGCTGGCTACATGCCAGTACCTCCGTGGCAGCATGTCTGACCACAGAATGACAGCACCAGGTAGGAGGAGGTGTATCCTCAGGAGTGCCAGCTTGATCTCATGATATAGCCGACACGTGGTTACCTTACCCAGGTTGTTCGAACCAAGGTGAATCACCACTGCCTTTGGTGATGTCTGCATTGCTTTGACCTGGGCATCTATCAGCTCGGTCAGCTCCTCCCACCTCATGCCGCCCCTTGCCAACCAGAGACATCCCCCTGGAATACCGAAGTCACTGTCCTGTAGGTGCTGTCTCGCCCGGGTGAGGAAGCTGGACCCAATCAACCATACTGAAAACATGAATCAATAGGAAGAAAACTGTTCTTGCATGGTTGGCGATTTAAATGTTTGCAGGTATGCGTATATAGCTTTTATAACATTCTGACCCCCACCTACCAAAGTGCTGTATCAAATCTGAACTCACTCCATTACCGGCTGCTGTCGTTGCTGCGCCAATCCTGAAGGAATGCGAAGAGTATGCTGCTGTGCAGATGCCGCTATGCGCCAGTGCTCTTTTTAGCACGGCCTGAAATTGATACCTGGTCAGGGGAGATTTATCAAAGTGTACGAAAGCTTGAGTCTGACCCTGTGATCGAACTGTTAGGTATGCTTTAACTGCAGCCACTGGACACAGATTGTGGCCAGGTATGGCGGAAATGGAAACAACTATGCCATGTGAGTGCCTGTCCGTTTTTGAATGCCTTAGAGCGACTGTTACTGTCTTAGTCGTGTCTTGGACTTCTAGGTCCAAGAAAGCGCACCCTGGCTGAGAAAGTTTGGTTTGCACGAGTTCACTCACCCGAAAGAAACCAAAGAAGGCCAAGCAATATACTGCTTTGAACAATCTTACTTCATAGGTAGAAGAGCAGACAAATTGCAGGTTGTTTACAATTACTTTGAGCAGGTCTATTGTTATTGGTTTTCTGTGATCCTGCCTCCCCTGACACTTTTGCATCCCCGTAATCATTTTAGTAATAACAAAGTGGCCGGTGCGGTCTTCCATGCTGTGTAGCCTATGGTACGTTGAGATACCAGCCATATACGTTCTTACCGTACTCGGTGCATGTCCTGACACTGACAGGTGAGCAATGAAATGTACCAGATGAGTTATTGGAACCGGCCAGACATCTCCCAGGTTTTGTGATGCCCTGAATGCTTGCAACGCTTGGGTTCCTGCCTGGTAAGTTGCCCACGTGTTTGCCGCCAATGATCGCTGAAGGAGCCTCTCTGCCTCGATTGTTAGCCCTGCCAGAGATTGTCTGGAAGTGGTGTGGGATGCAGATTGGCTGATGGAGCTGCATTGCGGAATCGTTCCCACTGAAATCTCGACAGTGCATCTGCGATAATATTGTCGTGTGTCATTCAGCATGCTGGCTACTGGACAAATAGCATTGCCAACTTGATGAAGTATGAGAGTGATTCCTTGTCGAAATGGATCAGTTTTGGATGATTTCAGATGCAGTTGGAAGTATGACAGGTCGCTGGAAAACTTGACAGAATTAAGACACAGATGTATGTTGGGGTTGAAATTATCACAGGTAAACTCTCCGCATCTAATTTTTTAATCTCATTAAGAAGACGGTCTTTCTCTTGGCTCCAGTTAGTGAGCTATACACCCTTGACGTCTCCCAAGTGCTGTTTGAGCACAGAGCGCATGGTGCAGTGCATTTGGTCTGTGCTGGGACTACTTTGCTAAGAATCAGCAACTGTTCCATCAAATACATCATGGAGGGTTGTCTTTGACGCTCAGATACGGTATTCGACAGTCATTACCTCCGAGAAGTGGCTCTATAGGATGTACAGGGTGTCCATAGTTTCGATCCCCTGGTGGTGGTGCAGCAGGGTACAAACCCCAGACAGTCTTTACTTACCCTTTTTGCTGTGTCATCACTGGCTTCAACACAACATAACAGTCCTTTAACATAATTTTCACAGCTATTTTGCCCTTTTTGGCAAAAGAAATCTGTCTCAACGTACAATCTTGACTGGTTATTGTCTTGGATTGTCAATTATAATTCTTAAAACTGAAAAGACATTTTTCAGAATATCTCAGTGATAAAGCTGAAACATTTTGTAGTTGATTTTGACTATAAGTTTCTTTCAGACACTATCATCTGCAATCCACTTTAACCAGTTTTGTGATGATGTTACAAAATTGAATTGAAAATTGAATTTGAATGTGTGTTGCAATCTGTTTTGTTTTAAAACATTGTTAAATGGGTTGGGATCCTGAAAGTCTGAGGGACCGAAAATAAAAGTATTTTCTTTCTCAATCCCAAATTTGAAAATGTACAGTGTGTGAATGCTCTACCACTAGACCACGGAGGTGGTCTCACCATTGTAACAGTTATGCTAAAACGAATTACGGTTATTACGAACTAAAATTAGTGGTCCGTCATAACCACTCTTTGTACTACATTTGCAATAATGCTGCAACAGTATTTTTAACTAACGCAATACAAGGGCCACAGTTAAAGTACTATAATAAAAACATTGCCAAGCAATAATAAATGCTTTTGTTGTTGCAGTTAATTCTGAGCCAGGGGTTCCCTGGCCTTTCTGAACATGCGTTTTAAACAAGTAAAACTGACACAATAATAGGTCATCATGCAACATTATACAGAAATAAATATCAACCATAACATGGTTTAGGTAGGAGATATCACTCAAATCGAATCTGTTGATATTTATTATGATTATGATTATTGTTGTTATTTATATCATTATTATCATTATCACTTGAATCCATTGATCCTGGAAATTAACTAGCTCCTTCAGGGGTCACTGATTCTGAATCAGATTCTCTTGATTTCTCCATTATGGGACATGTCAGACGCATTATTATTTTCTTTCAGAACACGATCAATGTTAGGGTGGAATTCCTCTCTGGAGAGAGGAGGGAGCTGACCACTGGTGAAGATGTCATCACTGAACCCTGCGTTATATCTGTCGATCCCCCCACTGACTGAAGCAGCATCATGAGAGACATGCAGAACCACAGCAGCCCTTCACTGAATCCTTGCCACCTTTCCACTTTATGGATTCCTATTTTCCTAAAATATTAACAAAGTTTGAATCTTGTGGCATGGATATAGGAGAAGGGAAAATGTTGTTCTGCATTTAAAAAACTGTCAATCATGTGGGTGTGGCAAATCACCTTGTCACATGCTTCTGGCAGTAAATACCTCAAAGTTGAGGTTTTAATTACTAGTATATATCAAATAATGTGCTTGTTAGACATGTTTTTTCTTTTCCTTTAAGCATTATAAAAACTAACTTTAAAACCAGATAATAAGAGACTCATTCCCAAAAGTTTAGACACGTTCAATCATTTTCATTCTGTTCTACCAAAGCAATAATTTCAAAAGCAAAGACGGTTGTCAAATGAATAAAATAAGACGACCATTATGCAGTGTAGTGGCGACCAAGTCTATTGTTTGTCAGCTGATAAAATGAGGCCTTGTACAACTCACGGAAATCTGTGTGTGTGATCTTTTCTCAAGCCTACCATTGCCTGACATTGAAGCATATGTGCAGAGCCAATGTTTGCAGGGCAAGAACATGGATATTTCTATATCATCCCAACAGAAATGTCTGGTACCAAGACATTTTCTCCCATGGGTTCCAACACATATAGGGGCAGTTGGGTAGCCCAGTGGTTAAAGCGTCAGCTCGTCACGCTGAAGACCTGGGTTCGATTCCCAACATGGGTACAATGCGCGAAGCCCATTTCTGGTGTCCCCCGCCGTGATATTGCTGGAATATTGCTAAAAGCGGCGTAAAACCATACTCACTCACTCCAACACATAAAAAGACATCTTTTTTTCAAATAACCATTGCAGTATGTATGTCAAATTTTGTAAAAGCGATTTTTCTCCTCCTGTCCATTAGAGGAATTGCCATTTCTTTTAAAACCAATATAATGAGAGTGTTCATTGGCCATAGAATTCTCTGGCACCTCTTCCGACCATGCTTGATTGGTTGGTAAAAAATAGCACTTTACTATATAGCAGCCCTTGGTATTTACTGGAGGTAAATCAAAAACTGACATATTTCAATCCATATTACATGCTTCTGGTACTGTAATGAATAAGGCAGACTTGCACAAGTTTCTAAGGCAATAATTATTCATTTAAAATCATTATTTCTAGATTATATAAATAATAAGAACAAGTTGTCCCCCAAAATGACTAGCATCCTCACCCCACTTCTCTAGACTTGCCTATTATAAGGATAGAAATACAACATATCCATGGACGTATCTTTCTGTACAGCCTTGGAGAAAGGCTATGAACAAGGCCATGGTCTGAGTTCTGTTTATATTTTATTTTCACATTTCGGCTCATCTGAAAACCATTCAAGTGTTGTGTATCTTGCTTCTGCAGTGAAGTCATTGCAGTGATCCCTTATTAAGAAACGGGGACTTGAAATTGTCTTTCTCTTGCAGACAAAACATTAATAAGACATCACATGTGTTTCAAAAGTACAATTCTGTGTGTGATCAGAATAAAACAAAGTTGTTCAACACAATTTTTGACACATTGTTCTTACAGTACCAGGATACTTTTAAGACTTTTTTCCAAATGAAAATTCTACTTTTGACAAAAATTTATACCAAAGAGAAACATGAGAGAAAGTTTTAAAATCATTTTTCTCATTTTGATTTTTTCATGATTAGTGAACTTTTCTGACAGTTTGGAACCCTTGACATAGAGTAAAATAGTGGTGTGTTAGGCTGCTCTACAAAGACAACTATCAATGCTAGTGTCATCATGTAACATACAAAGTGTTTAAAGTCCTGCCTTATTCAAGCAACTATTTTGTATACCATTCATATACCATTAAGTGCCTGCCTTAAATTTTGATGTGCACAGGCAGCTGTTTTATAAACTTGTAGCTAATTATTGCAGAGATTGTAAGTCACTCTATAGCTTTTTTTCATATTGTCAGAGAATCTATTATATGGTCTCTGATATTGTATTGTTATGTATAGTGATATCTTTTATTGATATTTTTAAAAATAGGTCTGTGATTGTCTAGTTGTTTTACAGTCCTTTGTTGGTTTTAATATCGTCAAAATTTATTTACCGTATTCGACCCAATAAGCGCCCAGGGCACTTAAAATAAAGACAGAAGGGGTGGGTGCTTATTGGGACCAATTCAGAGTCAAACTGGCGTAAATTCATCAGTATGCCTTAAGTCACAAATATCTAAAATATACAGAATATTGGGACATGGGCGCTTATTGGGTCGACTACGGTATTATGAAAGTATAACTTTTCATAGTCCCAAGATGGCTGAAATACTGACTTTAAGTTTTAACTCACTCACTCACAGACATTTTAAATTACCTTGTATATGTTTTTGACGTTATATACTGGTGGGTTTCTATATTCAAATCTTGTGTTGTTAAGGAAATCAGTACAATTACATACCGGTATATAATATGAGTTATTGTACAAGGCATAATTGTAATAAACAGCTATCAAGCACATCCTTATCTTCTCCCTTATCATGCAAGATGCATGTATGTCATCATCACACATGCAAAGCATGAATGAAATAATGTTGACAGGTACCATATTTCTTGAGTACCGGGTATAGTGCACACACACCCCCTCAAGGGGATTTAGAATTTTTGGGAGAACTTTTTTTTTATCATATCCCTTCTGAGAATAACAAACCTGGGGTCAATAAAAAAAATCACAAGACATACTAATTTATCATATAAATTGTATTTCCTTTAGTGCTAGGCATTGTTATGTATGTATAGCTTGGGATTACCGTGTGTATTTATAACTTAGTGCATTATATAAGGACATAACCCCATTAAGCTGGGCTCTGCTATCCTGCATTATAGCGGAAGTTGAAATTGAGACGAGGTGTTATTTGGATGAAATGGTCGCGGATGAGGAGGTACTGATGGAATGCAGAAATGAGCTTAACTCTTAACAACCATTGCCAAGCAACCCCTGTTGATTACCAATGCAGCAACCGCTGCCCTGCAACTACTGTTGCCAAGCAACCCATGTTGCTAACCAATGCAGCGACCATTGCATAGCAACCAATATTGCTTACCAATGCAGCAACCGCTTGATGACTCAGTGGATAACGTAACCTCAGAGGGGGAGGGGCCATTGCTCATAGTGAGTGAGTGAGTGAGTATGGTTTTATGCTGCTTTTAGCAATATTCCAGCAATACCACGGTGGGGGACACCAGAAATAGGCTTCACACATTGTACCCATGTCGGGAATCGAACCCAGGCCTCGGCGTGACAAGCGAACGCTTTAACCACTTGGCTACTCAACCAGCCCCCATTTCCCATAATACCAATCACTCGATTGTCTGGTCCAGGCTTTATTACTTACAGTCAATGGTTTTTTTGCGCGAATATTGTTGAGTGTGGCATTAGACAACAAACAAACAGTAACATCCCACACAAGGGCTATTTGATAACAGTACTAAAAGTATGAATCATGTCCAATAATATTTTCCAATACTTGTATGGGATACATAACTGTATATATGATACTCCTTGAATACTTTAATTTACACCCTGCTTTACATCACCTGCACCATGACTGTGGAATTTTTACATATATTCATTTTTTATATATTGTACTAAAAGCCTACGTTAGTCTAGGTAAAACTGAACCAAGTCTAGTTTCCTTTATTCCACATATGAAATCAACAGAGGAGGAAAGATTTTTTTTAAATAATAAATAACAATTATTTCAAAGAAAAGTTTTCAAAGACGAAGTGTTAATCTACCATTTACTAAAGGTACCATTGACTAAAAAGGAGCCCAGAGACTCTCTTCATTTCCAAATACTGCAGAAATCTAGACTTGCCAAACATTATAGACTTGCATGGGTTATATTATGTTTGTATCAGGGTCTGTAAGTCAGACTAAGTCTATCACTCAATGATTCACTTACTTTATAAAGCCAATTTATAGCCCTCTATGGTGCCATGTCGAAACTTGTTATCTTGACAGCGATGAAACTGGAAATCCGCCACCATTATGATCGTTACAACGTCCTCCGCCTACCCTGGTCTTCTCCATTGGCAGAACTTGTCCAATTGCTATCAGAGGATGATGGTCGCCAGGATCGTGCCAGACTCGGAGAAGAATGAAGTCTGCATCTTGTTCGCGACAACTTCAAGGCAGTCAGTTAGATCAACACTGTAGATTGTTGTGGAATATGACTGATCGGGGCAGACGAACAAATCGGCTTTTTGAAAGCATTGTAAATTCGGTTCATATCCATGGTGTCCAGGTCGAGGATGACCCCATCAGCTCAATTCCGGAATTTGCGACCCATGGCATCGGAAGGCAGATTACCGGATGTAAACAAAGCAGACGACAGTAACATAAAGAGATAGAGATTTATATTAAATTCATTAGCGGGGCAGACGATAAATTTAAACGCGATGACATTATTGTAACGTGGATCATATGAAGCCCCGCCTTCAATAGGTTAATCGCCAATACTTATGACTTAAATAACATTCCACTAACTGTAAATAACCAAATAGTTGCTGTCCGACTCAGTACTCGTCGATGTCAGTACAAACACAGTATTATATAAAGCTGCATGGTAAAGCTATATGTCTGAAATAACATTTACTTCTCATTGACGTAGTAAATCTTAAAACCTATCTCAAATGGTGACTTTGCTGCATGTGCATAAGCCTATCCTAAATTTATCCTGGAACATTCATATTAAATGCGGCATGGTATCTCAGTGAGCCAGCACTATAAATCGTCATCAGTCCGGACTAGTACAAGCAGACACATACACGTGCATGCACGTCGCTATATAAGTGCAATAATCTTGGACGCAACGTTAAACCCAATTTCACCTCACCTCACCATTATATACGCTTCAACCAGGTATTGTCTGTTCAACACTTTATGTAAGGGGGCACGGGTGGCCCAGTCGTCTAAGGCGCCGCGATTCGCTATGCAGAGTTGCGCCCCTTGGGCACGCCAGAAACCTATCATTGTGGATTCGAATCCCGGTTCGCCCCGATTACGTTTCTGGGTTTGTCAGCACCATACCCGTGGTCGTGGGTTTCACCGAAGTGGTAAACGTCGGAGACCTGCATCACTTCGGGCTTTCCTCCCACATTAAGCGATATAACTGGAATACTGTTAAAAGCGGCGTTAAACCCAACTCACTCAATCACTTTATGTAAACGGTTACAGAACATATGTTTTGACAAAGACTATTTAGACTAAAATAATACTTACGTTGGTATGGGTGAAATCGCTTTGACGTTGAAGCTGTTCCCACACGTTAGTGACTGGAGTGGTGGTGGTAGCTGTGGGATCGGTGGCAGCGTCGGCACTCACCAATTGCAGTTCTTTAACAATGGCAAACACTTCACCTGTTCGGGGGAACGAAATGCATCGACAGTCAAGCTGACTGCCTATTCAGTTCCTACCCAGCATCGTTTTTTAACATGAACGTATACACGTTGGTAGAGATCACATACATTGTCACATTGCTCGTTTCCACTCACTGAAATGCCCATGTCCTCTACAATTCTCCGAAAGAACGTCTTGACGTACTCATACAGCTTTATGTGAGAAGACCCTTTTTACATGCAACAGATGTGGTCAACAG